ACACACACACACACACACACACACACACACACACACACACACACAAAGACAAATAAAAGAAAGTAAATAAAACTAATCACTAATAGATGTCAAAAGACACCCCAAAAAACAACAACTCAAAAATAAAATAATAAAATGTTGTGGTCACATTTGTGGCCTCTCTTACTCGCAGAACTAAATTATTCACGTTCCTGTGTGCAGTCCGCCTGGTTAACCGTCACGTGTTGAGCGTGTCTCCTTTCGTAGCTCCGCTCAGTATCGTGGACGCAGGCAGAGAGAGTGACGGAAGCCTACCAAGAAATATTCCAGCAGGAAAAACTAAAGAAATCTCTACTTTGAGCATCAAACGCTCAACCCCTGTGGTCTCCCAAGAAGTTTGAAAAAGGTTTGTTTCTTGCCTCGTCGTGGGGGACGGCATCTGCTTGGATTCACAACAGTTCAAATGGATTCCAGCGACAACACAGTTTCAGAATCAAATACAAATAAATGAATGTTGAAATGTCTACAGTGACTTCATAAAACCAGCCTGCAAAAATACTCTTCCAATGTCGATCCATGTGTTCAAGATTTTGCCATTTGTAAACAGCTGTTTACTGCAGCTGGAAACAAATGGTTGAGCGCGTGAGACTTAAAGAGAATGTGCTGTAACTAAAACATGATAAAAGCTCTATAGAGCTGCATCTCTCTCTCTCTCTCTCTCTCTCTCTCTCTCTCTCTCTCTCTCTCTAATATAGCATATAAATATTGGTTGATGGAGGCCGATTCTGAAATCAAAACGTAATAAGTTGCACTTTCTTTAGTAGCAGAACCAGCTAATAACGGTGCGTGATAGCAGATGTGTGCGTGTTCGTATCTCAGAAGTGCGTCAGCAGGAGGAGAAGCACGGGTCAGGTTTCTAAGAGACGAGTTTAATCAACCGTCAAGTTGCTGATATTTTACGGCTAAATCCTTAACAGTTAAAATATGATTCTATAATTACGGACAGAGACGATACAAGTTATAAGAACAATGTACAGCGACCGTTACATTATTAATTATATGTAAAAATGTGCGGTTTAAATATTATTTATTATCTAATGAATTAGATCTCTTACTGATATTTAAGTGCTGATGTGTTCCTCTTGCTTTTTAAATATGACACTGCGTTGTTTCCTTTGAACTGAAAAGTATTTTTCTTTATTAATCCAAGAGCCAAATAAAGACGCAGAACTCAGGGGATGAGCTCTACTAAATGACTTTATGTTAATGCGCATTTATCTATTTATTTACACTTTTTAAAAAAATCTTCTTTTTTTTGTCACTTTTTAATGTGAGCAAGACGGCAGAGAATCTTTTGTGTGCAGAATTTCCTTCAATGCATCAAAACATTTTCTTTTTACTTTAAAATTATTTTTGCAAAAGCTTTCGTGACAAAAAGCTTTATTAGATATGAAACACGTAAGATGAGATGGAGCTGTATTTAGTGTATTGTTAAAATAAAACATAACTTATTGACTTTCATGCAGAACTTTTGGCTGTATAAAAAAAACCTGTATAATATTAAAATATTACCACACTTTGTGGAATTAAAAGCACACTTTTAATTCAATATTAAAGACTGAATATGATGTGAAAAACTGGGCCATGAATGTAATGTGTTGAGCAGGTTATTATCCGTTAGCTGTTGCTGTTCAAACTACGCTTCCTCCTTTAGATTGACTTTCCCCCTTTCATCCATTCGTTTGGAGAAGGTTGTCGGCAACTTTAAGATTGCCGACAACAGAGATGGTGTTGTCGATAGGCGGAGCCCTGACGGCCTGGTTTCTTCGATTCAAACGGGAATCGGACGGAAACGGAAACTCACATTTTCTGCACACGTTGTTGTAAAGGTGAATAAATGGATTTACTGCAGAAGTTGATGTAAACGGTTACGGCTCTCGGCAACAGTTTACGGCTCTGATTGACCTCGTTCCGGCTTTTTTCTCAGTGGCATAAAAAGTCTCTTCATGGAAGCGATCTAAAGATTAGACGCAACACAAATACTTCATTTCAGCTGATCAGTGATCGATTTGTTGCTTTGATAGATTTGTTTTAGTTGTTTGATGTGCCCGTGCACTCCACAGGCCCCAGCTGGGGAAATGCTTTCCAAGCAGCCGGCACGCTGGGAAAAATTGCTGAGTTTTTTGTTTTTTTTTAAAACAACCTCACAGAAGATGATTTACACTTTTTCTTTTTCTTTCTCTGACATCTGAGATTAAAGCACGACTACAATAATAAAAGATTAAGAAACGCTTTGAAGCCTTGGACGCCTCTGATTCCTCGCAGTGCATTTCCGGTCGCCCAATCGCTTTCCTGGAACTTTTACAACATGACAAGACAGGATCAACATGTCCTTTGACCTTACCTGTGGTTCCCGGGGTCAGCTGTCCGTCAGTCTGCCACGCTCTCAGTTTGTCGCTTTCTCTCGTTTCGATAGTGTGCCACTCTCTCTTTCTCTCTCTCTCTCTCTCTCTCTTGGACCCTCCACCCCCCTCTTTCTTTCGCGCTTTTATTTCTCTGCCTCTTTGGTCCACAAGTCCACCACTCTCCTTTTTTCTGTCCTCTCTCCCTTTTTCCACACTTCACCTCTAATTGTGTAGGTTTTGTCTTCTCTCTCGCCCTGTTTCACTTCTCGTCTCTCGCCCGTCTCTGTTTCCGTTGTCTCTGGTTCTCTCTCTCTCTCTCTCTCTCTCTCTCTCTCTCTCTATGAGGTTTTCTTTCTCCAAACCTCTGTTTATCCCCCTCTCCTCCGTTTCTTCTTTTTTCTCCTTAAGTAGCAGTACCTTGCCCAGCTGTCGATGATGAAGACATAATGGGAGGTTTGTACTGGAGGCGGGACCTGCGGTGCAGTGGGTTGGGGGATGGGGAAAGGTCACAATGATGCAGAAGATGGACAGATAAATGTGAACCAGACCCTCGTGTGAAGTGTTGTTTCTGGTAGGTGTTATCTCTGTGGCCCACATCGGAAGCCGACATCAGGCTTTGAGGGGAATCCTCCCTTTGCCCTGTTAGATCAGTCGGTGATGTTCAGTTATTTTGTGACTGCTGTCCTTTTCTGTAAACCCACTTTCCCTCAGCCTGCCGCGGGTACTTCCAGTTCTGTCTGGGATTTCCTACATTTCCCAGGACACCATTCTGGACAAGTCTTAACTCTAAGCAGGCGTTCATGCGTCTTCAGTGTGATCACAACAGAAAAATGACAAGAAATGGTGTTCTTGAACAGGACGGAGAGACAACAGCCCCACCAGCTGCTCTGTGAGGCTGAAGCTGCTTAGACACAGAGACGTTTGAGCTAAATGGCAACATAGTAGCAATAAAACAATCTTAGCTTAGCATGTTAGCATGCTAACATTTGCTAATCAGCAGTCAACACAGAGTACAGTTGAGGAAGATTGGAATGCCAATATTAAGCAGAAAAACAAAGTATTAGGCAAATTGGAATTTGGACCTGAAGATGGCGCTAAATGAAAAGTTTGAGGTCATTATCAATTATTATTTTTCCAATACTTCAAGACATCAAGACATTTCACCAACAGCTTAAAATGTCAACCTGCTGGTGGCACTGGAGGAAAAGCAACGGGATCATCGTTGACAAAATGCATCAAGCCGTACGTTTGGAGATGATTTTTACAAGTTTCTGTTAAATTTTGAATTAGTGTTTAGCTCTCACTTGTTCTAATGCGGGTTGATGAAAAATGTATCGCAATCAAATCGTTATTTCTTAAACAACACAATATTCTTCCCTCAAAGTGACAGCGAGACGGGCAGGGAGTGATGAGGTGTCTATCTGCTTAAATGCTTTTAATTCATTCCAGATGTCATGGAAATGACCTGCTGTTCATCAGTAAACTCTTAGTTGGTGAGAACGGCACCAAACTTTATCAGATCCGCCAGTCAGTCCATCAAAATGAAATGAATTCATTATCCAATCGTAAAAACATAAAATGTACTTTTTAAATAAAATATCAAAATGAGTGAGCCCTATAGTCGCATAGAAGGACTCTTGAAAATGCAAAGAGTGATGTGAAAATGGGTTCATTTATTGTTTACTATCTTGCTGTATATCTAAAACGAGACACACACACCAATTGCACAAGCCGTCCACAATCAACTGGTCTTTAGTCTCAACTGTGTTGCAGAAGGTAGCCTAAATCAGGAACACACACACACACACTGTTAAGATCAGGTCTGGCTGAGCAACAAATGAAAGGTTCTAAGGTCAATTGCTGCACAACCGGATCACTAATCGGAATCAGCCTCAGAAAACCTGATTACTGTTTCCTGTTAGTTTTCCAGGTTCCCTCGGGGAACTCAGAGGCTTGTTGGTGCACTTACCGACCAAATGATTTACTCTCTCCACCAAGCATCTCAGAGCTGAGATGATTGAATGTCTTTGAGTGTTTCCAAGAAAAATCAAGATGTTTGTAATGATTTGCCACCTTGGGGAGGAGGGTAATGTAGAGTACTGTCAACACCAATCATGCATGTGGAGCATATGAAAATGAATTGTTTTATAGCTGGAATCTCTGAGAACCAAAAATGGAAGAAAATGTTTTCTAATAAAACAACAACATCCCCCTCAAACTCTGCGTCTCATGATGTCTGTGTCTGTGTCTCAGTCATGGATGGATGGTGAATCATCGTGTGCATTCACGTTGGTCTCGCATTGTGTTGATTTAACATTGTGACTACAAACTATATATATATATATTATATAATGAAGCAGAGTGCCGTAAAATCTTTTTGTGGGCTTTCATTTCCTCTCCAGCGAATTATCCCACGTGGCCTTCGGTTGTCGCCCCCCCCCCAACTCAGAACCACCATTTGGGGCTTGATGTAAATCTCAAAATGAAATACAAACATTTTAGAAAGTGGGACGTCTATTTTTGATTTTCCTGCTTGCGTGAGAGCAAAACTCACTTTGTTATTATTCGCAGGAGATTATCCCAGCGGGTCTCCTCGTAACACAGCAACCATTTGGATGATGTAAGAGATTTCTACTTCTTTCCAAAATGTAAGACTTGTTTCTTATGTTTTTCTTTTTAAATCATGGAATCAAAGTCCTCCTTCCAAATACTTTGCCGATTAGAATAATTTATGTCCACTTGTGGAACCATAAACAGATAAAAGGCAGCGTGACGGTAGACGTGACACACAGACGTAAAAGCTACCGTCGGGCTGATTTATCCTCCTGAAATCGTCTCCCTCCCAAATCTGTGTCTCGTCTTTTAAAGCTACCTCATTGACTGAGCGATATACACGACGGAGAAGACGTCCGCAGCTCCCAGATTCCTCGGCTGGATGTTTTCAGGTCTGTCTCAACAAGAGAGAGATTGTCGAGACACACAGGAGCGCTATCCCGGTTTGACCTCTGACCTTTCTACAGAGGACTTCTTGGATCTTAAAATAGGAGATCTGGAAGGTGACCTTTGCTCTGTAGTTGGGAAGTCCACTGAGTGTGAGGATCAGTATAGTGCAGCTGACTTCTGATCTTCACATGGGACAGTAAAGAAACCCGACCACAACATGTTTACTATTACAATTACATTTCATAACTGCTCACACAGTGGGCAATATCTCTTTAAAGATGCACTAACCAATCATTTTTATACCAACGATGGATCAAATGACTTGGTTTGATGTATGTTGTTGGTCGCGGCAATGCACAGAGAATTATTACCCATCTTTACTGTTTCCCCTTCAGCTTTATGGAGTGTTTTACCTCATTGTTTTGGTTTTACAGTCCGCTAACTCCAGTCTCATCAATCCCATCTCCAGTGACAGCAGGAAGCTGTTTCCAGCAACAAAGCTGAGGTTAATCTAGTGTCAGTGCCAAATGGCAGACAACAAACCAGTGCTATTAATCAGGGGGTTCAACCATGAATCCAAATGAATGCTGACGTTGCTCGAGGTCTGCTGGATGTGCTGTTTGCTTGCACGTTGGTCAGATCAGTTTTATGAATATGTTTTCTGTAGTCACCAGAAATGTGAGAAAAAAATCAAGTGGGTCTACCCCAAACAGTTAGATATCATATTTTTGCAAAAATGGGCAACTATTACCATAACGTTCCTTATTAATTATGTAACATTATAGGCCTCAACGTGAAATGCATGAGCAGTTTAGTGAGTTTAGTTTAGACAGCTTGCAGCATTAATGTAGAACCATTCATACAGATTACATTAGCAACGAAACAGAAGCCGTAAAACAAATCATTAACGAGGCCGTTGGACACAGCAGTAGAACATTCTGGCAAAGCGGCCGAACGACCACATAAAGTCCCACACCTGCAGTAGCAGCAACATCCACTCCTACATGGAGAAACAGCAGCACACAATGTGCTCCCATGTGCCACATAAACTGAAATATGCAACACTGCTGGGATCAACAATGTAGATATCGTAGGGCCCTCCTAGGCGAGTGCAAAACGAGAGGAGCACTTCAATTGTTTTTCCGCACTCAACTGGGAAGGTCCGATGACATCATTCTGCATAAAAATTAGCTTTATGCTTCTATTTTGTTGTGAAGAGTGTATTTTTTCGGGGCAATGGGCTTTGGAACAATGGCCATTTGTTTTTGGGATCACAAATGGGCTTTCGGTCCAAGGGGACATTTTTCGGACTATTGGGGTTTAGGAATAATGGAATGGCACCCAGTATCTTGGGAAATATGTCTTCGGGTTGAATCATCATCCACATCTGTCTGCTTACTGTCTGACAGACGAGGGTCAAGCAGCAGGATGATGGCTTGCTGGATAGGCTCCTGTTCCTTATCTCTGAGCAGTGAACAGAGAAGGATGATGCTGCTACAAAAGTATATTCATCATCAAGTGGTAAACAGGACCCATTAAATGTTTTATTTTCCATAGTCACATAATCCAGGGAACATAAAAAGTTATTGACTGGTATTCACTGCGATAGAACCCTGTGTGTTTTAGCAGGCCTGTGATTGCACCAAGTGGCCAACAAATTCAGCGATAAAGCTTTAATGAGTGTCTGTGTGTTGCCATTTGTCTCCATTGTTGGTGCATCTGGGGCCAGATGCATAAAACTCTGGCACAAAGACAGAGATATGCATACACATTATTTTCCTCCGCTTTATAAAGCGGCACTTACGCCCGGATCTGTTTGATAAATCTCCCTCGTTATGTAGCTGGGTGCACTTGCAATCTGCCATTTGTATATTTGTTACAGGGCGGACGAACCAGGAAAAGGTCGTAATAACAAATCCGTCTGCTACTTCAGCACCTTGGACAGTGCCGCGGATTTATCAATACACAGAACAGTTTGGCTACTGATACTTCAGAGCCGTGGTTGGGGCCATAGATTCTAACTTGCACAAACGTCAGTCAGATGGATAATGGGCTTTTCTCCAGCATGCTTATTTTCATCCAGCCAGAACTTCCTGTAATTGGTCCAAAACGTTCGAGCCATCCAAAAGAATGTTTTCACACTAGAACCGAACCATGGTCCGGTTTGATCCTGATCGAGACCCCCCCCCCCTTTTTGTTGGACCAAGCAGTTCTGCTGTTTGGTCCGGACCGTGGTCTGGGGGATGCTTA